GTTTCCCCATCACTGAATTCTTGGTGAGTCCTGGCTCCAAAAGTGAATGCTTTCATTCCTTCACTCATTTGCAGCTTTGCTTGGAAATGGAAGCCTCCAGGCGCCCAGTGACAGAAAGAAACAGCTGATCCGGGGTCCTGTCCTGATCACAGCTTGCTTTTTCTGTGGCTGCTCCGGCCGCAGGCACATATGTCAGCCGGGGTTCCCACGGCGCCCGCATGGCTTCAGACCTGGAAAGTGGCCCCGTGGCCCAGTCACCATCCTGTACTATGCGTTAAGTTTCTAGGGCGCAGGCCCATACGAGCGTGGTTCGCTACTGGCTAGTTCATCCATCCGCTCAGCGATTTTAGCGAATTCAGAGAGGGTGCCGATCACGGTGAATTAAAAAAACGATCTCACTGTATTTACTTCTAAGAGGTGGAAACCCTGCTACAAAATGTCTCCAACTGACACTGCTTGTGAGGTCCGTTCTGCTTTGTGATGGGTGAACCCAAGCGCGTGGATGGCTCTACCCCCCTGCAGTCGGCCCTCCTGGGGCCAGGAAGCCTGGTGCTCGGGATACACTTTTCTTGTGCTTCTGTGCACTGTAAAGATCCTCGGTCATATCATTTTGAAAACTTAATTTAAAATTTAACTAAAAGGATGTGATCCCATGCCGACTCTTGAAACAGGCATGCTACGGCCTCTGATAGTAGGACTTGACCACTTACTTTAGGTTTATGTTGTGTTAACTTCAGTGTTTGTGGTTCATAACTGTATTACCCTTCGAAGTTAGAAGCTTTACAACTCTTCCAATTTCAGCCAACCAGGGGGCTTCGTTTGTATTTGGATTTTTCTGACTTGGACAGGAAGGGGTGTCACGTCCTAGCGTTGGAGTTCCATCTTGAGCTTGTTTCCATAAGCATTTTAAGAGGAAGGGGAATAATTGATATTATAACAGAATCTTTTATCCTCCTATCTGATGGAGTTTTAAAAGTATGTCCTTGCTTTAGATAATACATACGTTATGCAAAATTTGTAAGTTACTCCATGCATGAAACTGTATTTCATGCCTAATTTAGAATGGCTAATTTCGATGCCAAGATTATTCTCCATGGCTGTATTCTTTCATCTTTATAATGATGGCATTTTGCTCTTCCTCTTCAAACTCTGAATTCCATCATTTGAGGACACATTGGTAATCAGTTCTGCTGTTGATGCATAGACGTTTTAAAATGAATCTAATACAGTTGCACTGACGTTGGAGAATAAAAGTATGAAATGCAATTGCATCCACACTTTTGTGTCATATTTTACCAGCTTCTCTGGTCTTCCCTCCATTGGAGATGCTCATTACTGTGATGAACAGTGGTCGGGGGTTCCATTTCTGCCTGGTACAGGTTAGGTGGCCGCCATGGCCTTTTGGACCTTGCCTTGTTTAAAAAAAGATTTTTTTTTAACGTTTATTCATTTTCTAGAGACAGAAAGAGACAGAGTGCGAGCAGGGGAGGGGCAGAGAGAGGGAGACACAGAATCTGAAGCAAGTTCCAGGCTCTGGGCTGTCAGCACAGAGCCCCGACGCAGGGGCTCGAACTCACTAACTGTGAGATCATGACCTGAGCTGAAGTCGGACGCTCGACCGACTGAGCCCCCCAGGCGCCCCTTGGCCTTTGCCTTTACCGCATCGTGGGGTGTAGATGACTCGGTCCTGTTTCTCAGGGACGCTGACGGCACAACCCCTCCTGCCTTGACCCCCAGTGTACGGGTGGCCACAGTCAAGGTCTTACTTCTACAGCTGCACTGTCTGTCTGGATCAGCCAACGCTTCCTACAACGACAGTGGGGATTTGCTGAAAGCTCAGAGGAGTAATTTGGCCTGCATTCCGCGCACGCTGTGTGCCAGCTAACTGTATAGCTGTTTGAACGTTTATCCTGTCTGCTGGCTCTGCTCGGGTGCCCATAATAGCCTTGGACGGGGCACGGGATATTGGATTATTCATGTGCACTCTTGTCTGAACAAAAAGAGTGGGAAAGTTAAAAAAAAAATACGTGGGAGATAACAAGAACCATGTCAATGGAGGAGTCACTTCCTTCGTAGCTAGTTAATTCCAAAACTCTTGGGATATACGGATTGCTTAAGTGTTCCAGGGACATTTGGGAAAGAATGTGTTCTTGTGGTGTAAGCAAAGACTGGGAGTCTGATTTCTGTGTTCTGTTCCCAGCAGCGTGCAGGGGTCACCCGGTGACATGTGACAAGTCAGTTCCGTGTCAGAATCCTAACGTCCCTGTCTGTGAAATGGACATAAGAGGGGCGAACTTCACGTTGGTGAATCGTTCAACAGTTTGCTGGGAACCAGCTTGCTCTAGTGACCTAGAAAAACCATGCACTGTGGTGCAGGCTGACCTCATTTCTATTTTTGGCTTTAGCGCTGACTCAGTGAGAAACTTGCAGAACTCAGCGAATCTGGCTCTCGGCCTCCATGCGTTCCATGGTTAAAATGAGAATTATAAAGTCTTCTCTGCACTGGGTCTCATAGCGATAGAGCCAAATACTAATGAAGTTCTAAAAATATGCCACCAAATACATGGGAAGGCTCTTACATCGATGTGCCTCTCACACGTCCTTGCGATGTCCTATTAGGTTATCTGGGGAGACACAACTCGGTGTTCATGTATTTTTCTCAGCCAGCTCTTGGCAGTTCAGTTCTATTCTGTTTCAGGTAGAATTTTCCCACATCAGAGTAGTAGCGAGGAGGTGGGCACGATGACGGAGCATCTCTATGGTCAGCGCTCTCTGTGGTTGGAGCCCACGGTTCATTATGTTTCAGTGTAAGAATGAATATATTTGAGTAGCTTTCCATGTGAACAGGTGTTGGTCTGAGAACGCTTTCCTTTGCCGGCTGTCCCAGTTCTCGGGAGGAGGAGCCAGCCGTGTCGAATCCTGTGCCGAGGGCTCCGGGCACGTTAGCATTTGCTCCTCTGGGTGGAGTCTCTGGACGCTGCTGTCCTGAGGGCTGTGCCAGGCTGCATGGCTTAGTTTTCTTGAATCCCTTTACCATTTCATTGTGTCTTCTCGAGTTAGCACTCATCTGCACATTTGCTCACACGCTGCTTCTGGACTCCCGACTTCCACTTCCAGCTGATCCTGCGGTCCACGGAGGGGGGGCGGCGGTGGAAGTCCCAAGCTCAGAGCCCCATTCTGCGCTTCTAAAAATGCAACAGGTGCTGAATTTGCCAGCAATGCCAGGACCGGCCAGTGGTGTGGAGAGAAGGGCAGATCCTAGACCCCTTGCCCTGTTTCCCTCCGTCTGTACGCTGGTGAAACTTTCCAGTAACTCTCGGGGACCTGCTCTTCTGGGGGTTAATGCTTATGTTGTATACCGTATAGCTCGCCTGTTTAGTTTTGCTTTGGGCCGATATGACTGAGAAAGTACTGGGTGCTAAGTAATCCATAGGACTGTCTGCTTTTTCAAGTCAGCTGGCGATGGCTGTTTCATCTGCACCCTTTGTTCTGGAAGATTGCAGTGAAGTCCACATACTGTAAAGCACACAAGTTTTCATGATTTCAGGTCGCGATTGTGGGTGATTTTATCTTGGCAGTCTGAGTGTGGCGATCTTCCTTCATTGTCGTGGCATCAGGTCACGGGCTCGCTGGTGCCTCTGGGAGAAATCCTGTTTCCGGGTCAAACGTTGACGTTCTGCTTACTCTTGTGCTGGTTGTATTTTTTTTTAGTTTCTTGTGCTCACACGACTGAGATCGCCCTCATCGCTGCCTGTTCCCCACCTTCCAGGCTCAGTGACTCCTCTCTTTTCTTCATATACTTATTTTTTTTTTAATTTTTTTTTTCAACGTTTATTTATTTTTGGGACAGAGAGAGACAGAGCATGAACGGGGGAGGGGCAGAGAGAGAGGGAGACACAGAATCGGAAACAGGCTCCAGGCTCCGAGCCATCAGCCCAGAGCCCGATGCGGGGCTCAAACTCACGGACCGCGAGATCGTGACCTGGCTGAAGTTGGACGCTTAACCGACTGCGCCACCCAGGCGCCCCTTCACATACTTATTTTGTGTTCATCCTTCAAGCGCCAGCTTCGGGCTCAGAACCCCAGACATTTGGACCTTTCTTTTTCCTTTTTGAGTGTATTACGACCGCCTGCACTTGCACTGAATGATAATATTTTATATTTTTATTTTATTAAAAATTTTTTAGTGCTTATTTATTAATTTTGAGAGAGAGATAGAGGGCAAGCAGGGGAGGGGCAGAGAGAGAGGGAGACCGAATCTGAAGTAGGCTCCAGGCTCCGAGCTGTCAGCACAGAGCCTGACACGGGGCTCAAACTCATGAGCTGTGAGACCATGACCTGAGCCAAAGTCACATGCTTAATGGACTTAGCCACCCAGGCACCCCCCCCCCCCCATTGAATGATAGTATTTTAAAAACAATGTTTCTTATTTCTTTTTGCTCCAAGAGCATTGACAGAGACTCTAACTAAACTTTGTGCCTTTGCAAACAAGCACTTTTTAAGGACACTTTTGAAAGCCCATCGTCCGGTTGTTGATGGCACAGAGAGGTCTCAGCATCTCGTGTGGAAGCTCACACCATGAGCTCTGCCTACACACCTCCTAGGAATCCGAAGGAAAACTGTGATGCTCTGCTTACAGATTCTCAGTGCCGCGCGTGCCGATAATAAGATCCCGCTAGTTGAATGACAGCATAATCAATTCGGTGAAAAAAACCCCAACTAGCCATTATTTTATTTACCCGGTAAGTTATTGAGCATTTAGAATATAGAACATAGAAAGCATTGTCCCAGGTGTCGGAAGTGAACACTCCTGTGCTCAAAGAGCTTGGCACACAGTGGAGAAAAGCCTCCTGGAACGGGAGTTAGTTTGGAGCGTGGACCTTCAGGTGCCCGCAGGGACTTGTGCGGTGCTGGACGGTCGTGGCAGGGGTGAGTGCCGATCCCTTCCCTCCATTTCTGCCAGTGCACCTCCCTTCTGACCTGCTCCTTCTCCCCCGCAGGGCGAAAGAGGCCTCCCGGGCTTGCAGGGTGTCATCGGGTTCCCCGGGATGCAAGGACCGGAGGGGCCACAGGGGCCCCCGGGACAGAAGGTAAGCTTGGCCGTGCCACTGCGGGGAGGAGGGTGTGAGTTTAAGGTGGTCCATGTTCTTGTCACAGTGGCACTTCTGTTTGCTTGCAGGGTGACACTGGAGAACCCGGACTGCCTGGAACAAAGGGGACAAGGGTGAGTACACCTGTCACCTAAGTCCGTGAGGCTGTGGTGATGTGTGATACAGTGATGCCTCCGCTTGAGGGCCCTTCACCCCTTCTCACCTCCCAGCAGCCCTGAGGGGCACCCCCTCTGCCCCCCATCCTTGCCCGTCCATCTTCCCAGAGCTCCGACCGGGAGCCGGGGGCGGGGGGCTGACGTGAGCCCCCTGCTCCGACCCCCGCCCTTGTGGTGGCTTTTCCCGTCGGTTCTGTTCTTCCAGAGGGTTCTCGCACACACGGTGTGCTTTGGGGGAGGGGCGATGACATGCCTACAAGTCATGGAAGCAAAGGGCTGCCATTATCGAGAAAAGGGCGAACCTTCTCAGCGCTCACTTGGGTCTTCCTTCTTCACACTGCACTCTGGTTTTGCTCCTTCCATTCCTGGCAAATGCAAAGAGGAAGACCTCTGAAAGCACGTTCTGAAAGCAGAGAAACAGAGGCGCTGTAAATGTTTCATTCCGCTGTTCTGACACAGTCCCCGGCACCTTGGGCAGGAGGTAGAGGAAATGGCCCCGGGGGTGCTCGTGACGGAGCAGATCCAGACTTCCACTGGGAAGGACTGGGCTGCCCCCCCACCCCCCACCAGTGAACCGAGTTCTCTTACAAATGCTTCTTCCCAGCAGTTTGCGATTTTAATGTAAATTGTGTCTATATTTATATACACGTAACTTGTATACGTATACTACGTATGTAACGTGCATGTTTACATACACACTATACACATAATAAAGAATATATTTTACCTACAAATCACAAAGTGTGGAATGAGGACAGGGTTATTTTGTGGCTGTGCAGCCTTGGTCTTAGAAGTACAGTAAAACCTTGGTTTGTGAGCATAATTCCTTCTGGAAACACACTTGTCATCCAAAGCACTCGTGTATCAAAGTGGATTTCAAGAACCACAGGCTCAGTTGTGATCATGTGACGTTTGGTGTCACGAAGGACTCGTATTGCAAGACACCACTCGTTTATCAAGTTAAAATGTATTAGAGGTGTTTGCTCGTCTTGTGGAACCCTCGCAGAACCAAGGTTTTGCTGTAATTAACGTCAGCTTTTGGTATAGAGTTGCTGCTTCCAGGGGCCGGGCCCTCAGCTGCCTGCCCCCAGAATGCAGTGTGTGCTTAGGGTGGATGGATGTTCTGAGCCCCAGCGACACGGGTGTGACACCCTCAGCCAAGTGGGTGTGGTGGGAGGAGACGAGGGTCCCCCCGACTCACTGCACTCTCTCATTTCCATCCTTACAGGGACCCCCAGGAGCATCAGGTTACCCAGGAAACCCAGGACTTCCTGTATGTATCTAACTTCCTGTATGCTTCCTTAAGGAGACTTCTGATGTGCGTGACCCCACCATCATGTGATCCTCTGTTCTGGCTACTTTTCACTTTGTTAATTGCAGGGTATTCCCGGCCAAGATGGCCCCCCCGGTCCTCCAGGTATCCCCGGATGCAATGGAACAAAGGTAAATTTGGAACACAGACCCTTCCTCCCGTGCTCTGGTTACCCGACTCGTGTTGAGAAGTCCTATGACACGGTTTTCATTGCCACAGATGGAAAGCTGTTCGCCTTAAAGTGTCCTTTAATTGATGAGGAAATCAGTTTCCCCATATTTAATATTCACAAAAGACAAAGCTGTGCCTTTTTTGTGGACTCTTATCCTGCGATTGCTATAAACACTAAATTTCTTGCCTCTAATCTGTTGCTGAAGCAAATAAGGAAATATTATTATCCCTTGTCCCTATCCGTTATATTCTCATGTGTATTTCTCCTGTCACCAAGTAGCACTGAGCAGGGTAGCTGCCAACAGGTAATTGTTAGGGGGTCCCAACAAAGTGAAGGATCTGTGAAGGGAAGGACAGAGTACCTGGTGTGGGCGTCTGGGAGGATGTGCTGTGTGCCTGGCCACACAACCGAGTGACTTTCTGCTGTCCCCTCAGGGCGAGCCAGGGCCTCTGGGGCCTCCGGGTTTGCCTGGATTCACTGGAAATCCCGTGAGTATAGCATCGTTTCTTTCTTCCGTTATAATTCTTCTCTTCTTGGGGCACCTGGGTGGCTCAGTCAGTTAAGTGTCCCGACTTCAGCTCAGATCATGATCTCGCGGTTCATGGGTTCAAGCCCCGTGTCGGGCTCTGGGCTGACAGCTCAGAGCCTGGAGCCTGCTTCCTATTCCATGTCTCCGTCTCTCTCTGCCCCTCTCTTACTCGCACACTCCCACTATCTTTCTCAAATATAAACAAACATTAAAAAATGAAAAAAAATTCTCTTCTTCACTTTCTTTCCCTTTTTTTTTTTTTTTTTT